AAAACCAAGAATGTCACTAATTTCTTTTCTTGTATGACCACCTTTTAAAAGGCCAATAATTTGTGATCTTTCAGAAACAGTCAATTCACGGTTCTTTCCCATTTTTTTCAAAATTGTTTTAAAAACAAAAAATGATAACATTTTCTCAATTTTTACATTATTTTTTATTTTTTATTTTTTGTAACAAAACACTTCATAATTTAATATCGTGAACATATTATTAAGAACAAGAGCTTTCAAATGATATAAAGATTACAATATTTTAATTAGCGTAATTTTGAAATAAATTCAAAAGAAATTTTGGACGCAAACTTTTGTCCACCAAGTGTATATAAAGCTACTTACCAGCAAAATAAATGTGTAAACATGGGAAAGCAAACCCAGGGTATTGTGTTGCATGCTCACACACCATATTTAAATAATAGATAGATGTTTGAAATAAAGGTTCTCCACCTGAACCGAGTTCAACTTTGGCTTCCACATTAGCATAATAATATTTGCCTGTTACTAAAGATCCATCTGTTGTATAACCACCCTTAATTTCACATGCAATAAAAGTCAGTCCACAGTATTCTGTCATAAGTTCACGAAACATCTCCACACGTTCTCTCTCATTATTATAGAACATAGACATCTTGTATGATAGTTTCAAAATAAACTGAAAATCTTCTGAAGTAGGCCTCACATCTTTACAATCATCCACAATAAGGTTTCTGGCCAAAACTGCTTCTATTAGTAGCCGAAATTGCCCAAATACTTTGGGCAAAAATTATTTTTTTATAAGCCCAAACTAGTTTGGGCTTTGAGAAAACAGTTTGGACCAGAAACCTTAATCCACAAATTGTCCAAAGATTGGGTGCAACAATGTAACTGGTGTAGAAGAGGCACCTGGAGGTCGATGACACAGGATAGGTTGTTTATGTTTTTTCTGCAGATTAGCAAATTCTTCAATACGTGCATAGCTTGAAGGACACATGTGCTTGGGGAGTTCATCATTAAATAATCGTTGTTTGCTTTCAATGAATGTGCTTACTAAAAAAAATTGAGATTGGTAAAAGAAAGATTGGTAATTGCAAAGATGAGTTAGAAGAAATTACTAAGGCCTATCATCATCATCATATGACCTTTTGTTCTTGCCTTTAGCATGTACATAAAAAGATTAATAATTACAAGAGAATATTAAACATACACAAATAATGTTTACCTTTATTTTTCTCAACAACTCCTTCTGTGGCATCAACAACCAAAAATAAATGAACAGAAACAAAGAAGTATAAGTTAGTTAAAGTTGTATACAGTACACCAAATGCACTCTCAAATGAATAAATAAATAAACAAAATGGAATGAATAAAAAATAATTGTTTTTATATTGGTGATTTGCCTATGAATCAGTGAATGATTGACATTTTTTATAATAACTAGAATATTTATCAGCCTTCAATGTATAAACCAACATTTACATTCAAGATCTTTACCTTCAACACTTTTTAATTGTCTTTTTAATCTCTTCACCTCTAACTCCAATTCTTCTGCCTTCTGCCTCCAACTCTAAAGAGGATGATTGTTTGTGCAGAGAATAATTCTATATAAAAATTATTTTATGTTGAATTAGTGTTTACAATATTGAATACTAAAATAATATTTTATTGAAATAAATACCTTCTCACCATTTTCTTTATTTTCACTAATAAAAAAAAAAGTTTATAATTAACTAGAGTGATGACAAGTGGCAACGATTGCAATAACCACCAATCTTTATATACAAACTAGAGTGACATCTAGTGACAACAACTACCATTCTTAAAACACTTACCCTTTTTCTGCACCAAACTTATCTTTGCGATTTCGTTTTCAATCTTTGTGCTTATCTGGCATTTTTTTTATATATTATTTTTTTAAAAGAATTTGTTGATCGATCGACAACGCATCTAATTATTTATGTATGGACCCCCTGTGGTTTTTTTTTTTTTTTGGAAAAACAATTTATTTTTTGACAGATGACAAAACACGAGTGATGTTATTTGGCATAATTGGGCTCTAAAAAGAATATGTGTTAGAGAGAGAGAGAGAGAGTTAATAACTAACCAGAGGTAACCAGGGTTAAATATTCCTATAGATCCAGCCGGTTTTTACTGGCCAGATTTAAAAATTTCTGGAAATTTTTTGGCCATCCAGTTTTTTGACTGGAAGATTTAATATTAATAATATTATCTGTTATTATTATTTTAGTCAAAATTATTGTGTTACCCAA